GTCAACACAATCAAATTGGTGTATATGAGCCTGGGGCAGGGTGGTGACAGCTGAATTTACACCATTGACGGCCAACCGCTACATCCCACACCTTCCGTGAAGGAAATAGGTGTATTCTGGTGATGCAATTTGAAGTCCGTGGACAACACGAATAGATTATATCGTAACGGACTGTGCATGCTTTAGACGATTAAACGCAGCTTCTGTACTAAGTCTGAGGAGGTCGCCACTCGTCTCTTCTCTTCCAACATAACAGCAATATTGGAGTAAGGCTCACCTGCCTACCGCCCAATTACCCGAGACGGGGCATAGAAGATCGAACGGGTCCAACATGTTACCACCAGTATTACTCCAAGTTTACGAGAATTATTGTACGAAGATCGGTGTGAGAAGCTATTACTCTTCACCTTGTCCTATCGTGGGGTGCGAGTCGATTTCATCATGATCTACCGTATGGGCCCAGCACGCTTCCACTGCAATGAGGCTGGACCTTACCGTGGTGCGATGGTTTGCGTGCCTCAGAGATCCATTGAGCTATGCTGGGTGGTGCTTTTGCACCTTCAGAGCCACTCATACCAGATTGGTCAATGGTTAGAGGCCAGACAAACTCAGCCTCCTGGTCCTCCAGGTTGGGGGTTGGAATGGGGGTGGCTCCTCATTTCATAAAACGGGCTCCTCAGTCCAGTGCCAAAACCCGCTGCCTTGCGGTAAGGTTTTTGAACCAAAGGCTTTGGTTGAGAACCATAATCGTTCTCCTGTCTAGGCCTGGGCAACCTGACAGTATTCTGCCCACGCAACACAATGAAACTTTCCTACAACAATTTCTTGATGCTCTGGCCGTCGCAGAGGATAATCAACGGCGCCCTATCTGCTGCATCGAGCAGGGTGGATAGGGGTATGGATGCTACTGCTCAGGTCTTCCCGTCTTCTTATACCCCTTCTTGCGCTTCTTCATCCTTATCGTCCCGCTCCAACTTTACTTATATCCCCCCCATTTTCAATCCCCCAATTCTTGGCCCTCCCCCAGCTTTCTTCAGTAGTCGCTTGTCTTCTAATTTCAAATCACACACAATCCCAGGGCCTCGCTCCAATCCAGTTGACAAGTCCATGTTCAAGCAAGCGGACAACGTCAGTTCATCCGTTTCCCTTTGGAGTCCTCGCGTCTCGCTAAGACTGGCATGCTTCAACGTGCGCACTTTGCTGCAGATTGGCCAGCAGGCAGCACTTGCCCGCACACTAGAGACCCTATCGATCGATATTTGCTGTTTATCAGAAACCCGCCTGCAAGATTTGAGCTCCGTATTTACCCTGAGATCCCCCACATGCGACACTGGCGGCACATTCTCATTGCGCCTATCTGGTGATGATGCAGCTTCAAATGCCGGTCAAGCTGGCGTCGACATTGTTTTGAGTCCCCGGGCTGAAGCTGCCCTGATTGATTGGATCCCAGTAAACAGTAGGATGTGTGCCGTTAGATTATCTGGTTCGTTCCGTGCTACGAAGTCGCGCGGGGACAAACGGTGCCTGTTTGTCATTGCGGCTTACGCCCCTACAAACTGTAGCACTGATTCGGTAAAAGATGATTTCTATCAGCAACTTCACGAGCTCCTTCGTTACAGAAGAAGCACGGATACTGTGGTGTTGGCTGATGATCTAAACGCCCAAGTCGGAAAGTTGTCTTCTGATGAGCTTCATCTGGGCGGCCAACATGGTGTAGGCTCGCGTAATGATAATGGTGAGCGATTGCTACATCTGTGTGAAGATGCTCGCCTCTTTCTCGCGAGCACTAACTTTCGACACAGCACCCGCAGAAGCGTGACTTGGCGGCCATCAGCCTCGGGCCAACCATGGACACAAATCGATCATATCGCGATCAGTTACCGCTGGAGAGGCTGTGTCCAAAATTGTCGCTCGATTTGGAGCACGAGCGTGGACTCTGACCACGCACTTGTCTGTGCCGACCTCCGGGTGCGTTTCGGTGGACGCCCGCAACGTCGATCTGAACGGATTGACACCAGCCAGCTGGCGAAGCCAGATGTTCTGAATGTATACCATAGTGCGCTGACATCTGGGCTGGGTAAGCGCCCACTAAACACCGTTGAAGATCACTGGTCGCATATTCGTCAAACGTTACTGTCAGCAGGCATGTCTTCATGTGGCAAAGCAAATTGCCAAACCGGACATTGGGTTTCTACACAGTCTATGGAACTTATGGATGCTCGCCGACGTATTCCGGCTAGAAGCGAATACAATGAGGCTCGCAAAAATGTCAGGACAAAACTACGTGCTAGCCTTAGGAAGGACCGCGAAACCTGGTGGTCTCATCGTGCCTCTGAGATGGAAACAGCCGCTGCCGTGGGTAATCATCGTAAGTTATTCCGTCTGATACGGGAAACAGGCAGCAGGAGACCTGGTGTTAGCGAGACCATACGCGACGAGAGTGGGCAGCCGATCCACAGCTTGTCAAAACGCTTGGAGCGTTGGGCCGAACACTTTGCAAGGCAATTTAACAAACCCGAGTTATCGCTTTCTTCGGGCATTGAGCGCCCTTCTCCTTGGTCCGTCTCCTCGGATCCGCCCTCACGCGCAGAAGTTGAACGTGAGATCCGGCTGTTGAAATTGCATAAGGCCTCAGGAGCAGATAGAATTCCCCCAGCCCTCTTCGAATTCGGGGGACCTGCTCTAATAGATGATCTACATGAGTTGCTAGTAAGACTTTGGGAGCAGGAGACAGTCCCGACAGACTGGAACCGCTCCGTCATTGTCCCAATTTTCAAGGGAGGCTCTCGTTTGGAATGCGGCAACCATAGAGGGATCAGTCTGATTTCGATTGCCTCTAAATTGCTTGCCTCTGTCATTCTCCACAGACTGACTGGCACTCGTGAAAGCCAGATTCGTGAAGAGCAAGCCGGATTTCGTCGAGGTCGGGGCTGCATCGACCACATCTTCACATTGCGTCAAGTGTTGGAGCACCGCCATGTTTATTGGCGACCCACCGTTGTCGTGTTTCTTGACATAAAAGGTGCCTTCGATTCGGTCGATCGATGTGCCCTTTGGGACTGTCTGCTGAGGAAAGGTGTGCCTGATAAATATGTAAACATTATCAAAGCGCTGTACGCGCATAGTTCGGGCAGGGTGAGGGTTTATGGCAAACTCTCGCCACCCTTCAGTATCACCAGCGGTGTGAGACAAGGATGCCCGCTGTCACCTTTCCTCTTCAACTTCGCTATTGATGAAGTCATGGAAACAGCGTTCGCTGGACACGACCTAGATGGTGTGGAGCTACTTCCTGGTGAGCGACTTCTTGACTTGGAGTATGCGGACGATATTGCCCTAATCTGTGACAGCCTCCAAACATGCCAAAGAGCACTGGACCGATTAGCACTGGTTGTCAATCGTTTTGGGCTATGCTTTGCTCCATCGAAATGCAAAGTACTTCTCCAAGATTGGCAGGGACCCAACCCTGCGCTAACGCTTGGTGGTGATCTGCTAGAAGTCGTTCAGGAATTCAAGTACCTGGGCAGCTATATTAGCACCCGTGGGATTGAAGATGAGGTTATGAACCGCATAGCAAAAGCTCGAGGTGCTTTTGCCAATCTCCGCCACCTGTGGCGCAGACGCGACATTACTCTCGCCCTGAAAGGCAGAGTTTACAACGCAGCCGTCCGTTCTACTCTCTTATATGGTTGTGAAACCTAGCCCATCAGGTCGACTGACATGAAGAGACTCGTCACATTCGATCATCGCTGCCTTCGCAGCTTAGCTCATGTCTGGTGGGAACACCGCGTGAGCAATGAGCGTGTTCGACGTCGCGTATTTGGTGCAGGCAGAGCGAGTGAAGCGCTCAGCACCATTATATCACGCACCAGGCTCCGATGGCTGGGCCACGTGTTGCGCATGCCAGCACACCGACTCCCACGACGTGCATTGTTTGCGCGTTGTGGGTGCGGTTGGAAGAGGAGGAGGGGAGGCCAAGTGATGACTTGGTCGAGAGAAATGAAAACCCTCACTTCAAAGTTGGCGTCGGTTGGTGCATCCCGACTGCCTGGCTGGGGTCCTAAGGACGGTGAACACGTTTGGTTGGACACACTTGCTGATATGGCTCGGAGCCGGTACCAATGGCGTTTGTGTTGTGATTTCCTTTGCCCATCCCCCTCCTGTTTAGTATCCCCCTCCAATCACGATCTCATCTGTTAGGCATAATATGATTCTCTTTTTACGGCAGCCAGCTGTTAGCTCTCCGGAACGATGTCCATCCGTTACTGGGGACTCAGCGGGCGTGCCACTGTTTTTCCTTTTCTTTTATTTTGTATTGCGGCACAATAGCTGAGGTGTTTTCCACCTCCAGCTAACGTGTAATGATGATAATGATGATGATCTACCGTATATTGCGTCTCGGTTATTTCCCCATGTTGAGGACACTGCTTCACTTGCGGACCCCAGTACAAGTTTTTGGTGCCGGATATAAAACGATTACCCATCGCTGTGTTTTCGTATGAAGAGTGGTAAAGGTTTGGGACAGTCTGCCAGAACAAATCGTGAGGCCAAATCTGTACATCAGTTTAAAAAGTTGTTGGGTTTACATTTTACCGCCATTCGATACAGAGAAAGATTGCAAGCTAGTATATGTGAACCCAGTGAAACAGTAAGTTAGACATCTTAATATGCTACGAAGGAACTTGAAGAACGATTAGATTATCAAGGATTGAGGACATTTCTATACAAGTTTTGATAATATAGCGATGGGGTTGTACAGATTTAACATGCTACTTGTTCCCATATAGAGTATTCAGTATTCTAAACTTCGCATTTTCATTGCCAATACTACAGTAACACTAACTTGATTGTGTTGCAACAAATTATATAGATTCTTAAGTTAAAAAGAACAAGATGAATAAAGTTAGATATATGAGCTGTGGTTAAAAAATATATGGGCGACCGAAAATGGGCGAATTGGAACAAGGAATTTTGTCTTCAAAACAGTAGTGACCCAGCCTCACCTCATCTTCCGGTTGAATGATGGTTGGTTCACCCGAAGAAACGTGGATAACAACAGGCGGATGGCGCATGGGACAAACTAGGAATTGGTCAGGTTTCCGCGGGTTAAACTGCGCCTTTAACACGGGGCAAGGAAAGCGGAAAGTACGCTCACAATCGCTGGAGATGACATTCCAAATGGAGACCGTATTATCTGTTGAAGCAGTAAGCAGCTTTCGACTATCACGGCTCCAGCTAGAGTAAAGAGTAAGGACAAGCATGCGTGGACTGACCTTAGGCAACAAACAGGATGCGTGTGCGCAATCAATACCTTTGAAATCCTTCGAGTTACGTAATCCCAAAGCTCCACTCTGCCATCATTGCACCCAATCGCAAGAAGACTACCAATACGATTGAACTGGAGCGTAATTGTGTAGGTAGCACATCCGCCATCCTTCCCATCGTCCTTCTTAATTCGTTCTAGATGACCATCAGCAGCCTGAGCAAATTAACGTCGATAAAAGGTGATGATACCTCCGGGTAACTCTGGTGAAAAGCCTCTTAAAAATAGGCCATAAGTTTGCAAATAACATACCAAGTAGCTCAAGATTCATGGGATGCGCTAGAACTGAAAGCAGTATGCGTCCGGTTGAGGGTTCCGATGGCTTTCGCGTCCAAAGTGTAGGGCGGTCGTAATAGACCGAGGCACCTGAAACGCAAAACAAATACTCCTCAGATGGCTGGACAGTTTCATCAAAACCGCACAATAAGTGGGATGGAGGGTGCGCCTGGCCTACAGCTCGTGGAGTGCTGAACGACGTTGTTACAGCTGCCGATGCAGGACCGATCCTGAGGTGACCGGAAAGATGGTGTGAAAAAGCATGGAAGATCGCTGCCCTAACGACACCGAAGATGAAATGGGAAGGAAAAGAGAAGAGGAAATGACAATAGCATTATAGTCTAAGCTCGAGGACTTCTTACCTGTTGATTTGCTGCAAAGACATCTGAAATGCTACATTGACCAAGCAGATAAAAAACTAGTCAAAACAATAGTCGCAGAGCGAAATAAATTCATTGGGTTGTAGAGAGTAGGAAGGAAATCCTTTGTCAACCACTTTGCTTCCTATTCAGTGTAAGGACAATGGAAGTCGCTGAGGCAGTTTTCCACAGGGGACCATAGCGGTCGCAGTGAAAGTAGCAGGAGCCTTGCTTACTAACCATATAGGAGTAATCTTTTGAAACATCCCTCAGTTTGCGTAATAACGACCGGATTAGGTAGGGTGTGCCGGTCATCCGCTACATTGGTGTACAAGATGACATCAAAAAACTCATGGAGCGTCCTATGTTTAAACAGTTTCCATCGGTGACCCTGCATTGTACTATCGTCGCAGAGAAGGAAGAACTGTAGCTCGCTGCCCATCAAAGCTCGTGAAAGGCCTCCGATGTAAATCGGATCTCCACTGCGACGAAGTTACTCTATAGAATACAGGTTTATCTATCAAAACCAATGAGGGTAAAGAAGATCCCGGAGCAGTGAGATAGACTTCGATACACACCGCTGAACTTTCTCAATCAAGACGCATTCGGTCTTAGTAAGAGGGTAGGTCGCTGGTACATGGGATTTAAACAATGGTCTGAAGATTCTAAGCGTCATTTGGGGAAACGATCCCCCTACGGCATAGAACGTCCTATTGGCAGCCGCGACCATCTTCAAGGGGTCTTGTGCTGTGCTTAGATCCGGAGAAATTAGCAGGCCGATGCCCTTCATACAGGCCGCATTCTTAAGCAGGAAACCGCCAAGGTAATAGGCGCCGAATGGCGCAGAAGTGCAAGTAGGGAGTGCGTAAAAAAAGTAGGGAGTATGCCTGTATGCAGTACCGAAGATTCGCTGCCGTGCAACCACCACCAGTTGCGCGTGGGCTTAGGGTACAGTAAGAGTCAGTCGGGCACATATGCAGACTCGAACAAGTGACATCCGGCTTACAAGGTAGGTTTGCGATCCTGTAGACCATGAGCCGGCGGGAGTACGAGTCAGCTGTCCCGATTGATGGGTAGCAATCGCTTCACCGAGCAGCAGTGCAGCAGATTTAGCGTTGCCTACAACCAGTCAGCATCTTCAGTTTTGAAGACCTCTAGCCATAGTTGGAAGTCATTGACGTAGACTAAACTGTTTAAATCTCCGGTGGTAGTTGATGTAGATGTAAAAAAGTTCGGATCAACGGACAGCGTTCTGCGGTACCCACTGATCAAGAAAACAAGCGGATCATCAACAGCATTCTGAAACTCTTGCACATTTGGCTTTCCTCCAGTTCTCATTGGATTTAAGTTCTGAGGACAACGTGACCCCTAGGTCTACCAGTTGGGAAACATGCCACAGTTCATTCCCACTAAGCAGGTAACGCGTTTGGGTGCTAGTTGGCCTTAATTGTAAAATGGAACAGTTTGCATAATTTATGAGCAACTGACACAGAGCAGCCTAGTCCCAAAGTTTATCGAGGGTCTGCTGCAGAGTCTGGGGTCCATCGAGGTCGGACACTGCCTAAACTTTAGATCATCTGCAAACATGAGAGATGGTAGCCCCAGCAATTCGGGCAGCTCATTGATATACAGAGAAAATAACAATGGGGTAAGCACCGAAACCTGATGGAACCCCCCGCTGAGGACTAACTAAACCCTCTACGAACAAACATCTCTCTCCCTTACAGAAATGTGGTGATCTATTGTAGTGCACGCCTTGATATGCCATAGGAGAGAAGTTTCAAGAAGTGAGACTGTGGTAGTCGAAAGCTCTGGAGAAGTCAATAAACACTACACCTACTGCATGACCCGATCCAATGCATCCGCACAACATTCGCTCACAACTAGCAAATTGGTCATGCAGGAGTGACCCTTGCGAAAACCATGTTGAAGTGGACTGAGCGGACCAAACTCCCGCAGATGGTTTTCAATCACATCCCTAACCAACTTCTCCAATAACTTGAGCAGTACGCTTGTCAAACTTACCGGTCTATAAATGGCAGGGAGATGCTTGTCGCCCATTTTAAAAACCGGGCAGACGATAGCGTCTTTCCAGTCCTTGGGCAAGGAGCAGCTGCGAAGCGACAACTGAAACAAGCGTGTAATTGGGTCACATAGCTCGCTTGCGAGTTCGTACAAAAGATTTGGGTAAATACCATCCATCTCAGCAGAGTTAGCCCCTGAAGAAAATGGAGAACTTATGACTCAGAGATCGAGAAGTCAATTAAACAGGAGTCCTGTGGGACTCCCATCGCTAAGTCAACTTGCGGCAACTGCTCATCCCTGACGAAGGTCTCGGCATACTGCGCACTGAGCAGACAGGGTTTTCGTGATCAGTGTTGGCAGTGGCAACGTCGCTATCAAATAAAACTGAGATTGATGAACCAACGTTACTACGCCTTTTGACGTAGGCGAAGAATCGTCTGGGGGTTGCGGGGGCTGAGTTAGTCAGCTCCATCTCATGGCCAAGTCTAGCAGCTCGTAAATGACTCTTGCAAGCATTTCGCGCTTCACGATAACGCCGAAAAGTAGATTCCGAGATAGCTGTCTGGTAGATCCGCCAGCATCTCGCCCGTCTGTTTATTAGCTAGTGTGCAACGGAGTCCAAGCATGGTGGCTTTGCTTTGGTAACCTTCACCGTAAAAAGGGATGTGGGGAGGGATATATTAGAGAGGAAGGACTTAAAGGTATCCCAAGTCGTTTGTATATCATCATCCGGCAAGATGATGCATGGGAAACTTACTACCTTGTCTCTAATAGATTGAAAGTCCGCCTGCCAAATGTTCGGAGTTCGGACCCTGCGTGAGAGCACAAGTGAATGACAAACGCACGTGATCACTGGTTCACGAAGGGGGACCATACTCAAGATCTCACAAAGTCAACTGAGTTTGCGAAAACTAGGTCTAAGAGAGAAGGAGCATGACCCTCCATGTACCTGGTGGATCGATCGTCAAATTGGTGTAAGAGCACTTCCAGTGTCAAGTCGACAAGCTAAGCAGCCCACCCTTTTGTCGCCGCCTCATAAGATAGGTCATGCCAATTATTTCGTTGTCATTAAAGTTCCCAATAAGAATTTGTTCCCAATAAGAAGTCTCTGTTTGCACAGCGAGAGCGGATGAAGTCAATGAAACCCCTAGAAGCGATGTCAGGGCTCCTATACAGCAGCACACTATTAAATTGTGTTGACTCAGTGCAGACTTCAACTGAAAGAGTTTCTACAGTTCTATCAGCTGAGATAAAAGGATGTTTTTGATATGTTTACACCACCTCCGGGGCGATCAGATCGCAGTAGTGCGTAGTCCGGAACGTATACTTCACTGTCCATGACGTCAGAAGACAACCATGTTTCAATGAACGCGAGTGCATCAGGATAAAGTTGTTTATTAGGGCCCCAACTTCACACATCTTGTTTCGCAGGCTACGAACATTATTGAGAACTAGGTGAAAACGTCTGGTATGGACAGCTCCGGTTCATCTGCTACCGGAATGGGCTCTGGTAGGGCGGAAGTGGACCGCCAGTTCTCCACACGAAAACCCACCAAACACAAACCTCTCTCGCCAGCTTCTTGACGTGTTCTGTTTTTGATGAGTTCTTTAAGCTTTATCCTATCCCTTAAAGGTAGATCCGGCTGTATACTCACTCCTGAACCCTTTAGTTTTAAGACAAAGCGCTAAAGAGCTTGGCGCTCCTCCGGTGTAGACAGGACCAGGCGCGATATCCAGGGCTTACTTTTAGTACTGTCACCCAATATGTTCCCAAGCCTAGCAAGTTTTTTAATCGTAACCCCAGGAAACCCGGATGAGTTGGTTTAGAAACGCAAAGCTTGAACCAATGAAGGTCCTCAAGAATGCGATCTTTCGGAAGAGCCGTAAAAGACCCAGCGAGATTCCTAAAGATAAGGCTGCTGCCGTAAATGCATCACTACGACGAGGGGTGTTTACGGCACGCGTCACTGTAGCAATGGCCGGCGCAGCGCCCGAGTTCATATCCACCTTAGTAGGAACAGCAGGTGCATCTGATGAGAATTCCGGAATTAAGGTAGAAGTTTCTTGCCCCTGTTACCGGGGACGGAGTAACGACAGAGCCCACTGCTACATCTTTAATCTTGGGTTTGGTTGTACTGATCGAGTTCTTTATCTTACGCCGTTTTACCTTCGCAGATACACTAGCCTGTACAACTTCCCCACTCACAGCTGAATTCAATATAACGTCAGGATGTTTACCATTTTCAAGCGCCGCCTCAAAAGTTGGTGAATCCTTCTAAGCCGTACTATTTATGCAGTCGTCTGAACGCACGCTTGTTCCGAGAACTCCTGCACGTTCAAGGCTCACAACAATTTGTTCAACCTTCGCTTCTAAAGAACTAAACAAAGACAGGAGGGTACCCAGTCTATCCACCAATGTTTCAAATTCGTCATTGGGGGCTAGACGATGCGTTTTGTGCTTAACACAGTCAGGGAAATTATAAGGTAAATCATCGCTGTTTTCTAGCAGAGTATGCTGTTGTCTATCCAACCCAGTGCAAGACTCATGAAACCAACGACTGCAGAGGTCACAGTGCATTCCATCGGAAGAACCAGTAACTGGTTCTGAGCAACTCGCTATACCACAAACAACTGACGAATCAGTTAATGGGTCCGAGGGCGCCTTGGGACCGGATATCTTTGCCATCACGAAAAAGGAAAAGTTGTA